TTCCTCATGTCTTTCCATTTCCAATCTACAAATCCACAGCCACTATAAGCGGTGTGCCTTGTCACCTGCGTACTATAACCATCCAACTCCGATGTACCCAGATCTCACCACGACAGACTTTATATTTTCTGCTTCCTGTCTCTTTGGTTGGTTTGTTTTCTCTAATACAGGCAGGCACTGTGCCACTGAGCTATTTCCCGGGATCTTTATATTTTGTGCTTCTGTCTGCAGGCTGAGAGTGACAGAGAGGCCTTAAGGCTTCACTAAGCCTCAAAATGAATGAACATGGCTGGTTTCTCACACTTCTGGGAGATCAGCAGCTTCTACAAAACTGTTCCAACTTAGACGACTCCCCTTTTAGTCCAAGATGAAAAGTGGCATGCGTTTCCTCTTCTTCTGATGCCACACCTACTTGTGTGATAGCCACATGCTCTCTGCTCCCAAGCTCCTGGCTCTCAAGAGTTCTGTGTTCTGTGTGCTTTGGACCTGACATATTCCAAAAGCTTGGGCAATGGATGGGCAATGGTCTCTCTTCCTGCTCTCATCTTCCTGCTGTTCTCACCCAACAATAACATCCATCCACACCTCTAACTTTCAAATGTCCTGCCTCTCTTCATCCCTTTCATATTAAACTTGCAGGAAGACTGTCAGTAAAATACAGCGATATTGTCTGCGTCATCTGTCACTTCCTGGACTCCTGGAAATAACTTCGTATTCCTACCACTACAGAAACCCTGCCTAGGGGGTACTTCTCAAGACTCCATAAGCACAAGAATTACTTGGAGCTACAGTTAAAATGCACCTTGTGTTTCATAAAATTTGGGATACAGCGTGATAGTCTGCATTTATAATAAGCACCCATGGCATGCACTGTGATTGGTTCATGCACCATGATTTGAAATGAGAGGTTTTTTTTTTTTTTTTTTTTTTTTTTTTTTTTTTTTTGGTCTTTTTGAGATAGGGTCTTGCTATGCAGTTAAGGTTGCCCTTGAGCTCACTTTGTAGCCCAGGCTGGTCTCGAACTCGCAACAATCCTCCTGCCTCAGCCTCTCGAGTGCTGGGATTACAGGCGTGAGCCACCACACCCGGCGAAATGAAAGTTTCTAATGAGCTGTTATTCAATAAATAAATAATAAAACTGGACAATTATAGTTTTGGGGAAGAGATATTCTTCCGATAACATTATTGCATAACATGGTGCTCTGTCTTAGAAAAAGTGAAGTTATGCAGAGGTTTAAATATTTGGTATTTTGTCTATGTTGTTGCAAGGTATGAGAAATCTCAGGGCAAAAAAGTGAATATATGACCCAAAATGGAGCTTTGAGAACACGGACCCCAACGTAGAGGTCGCTTTGATGTAGAGTTCACTCTTAGATATTTCCATTAGGTGTGCTTTGGAAACAAGTGAAGAAACAGAACCCCAGATACCCACTATGCCCTGTAAGTGTTAGTAGAGGAGATTACAGGTCTCCTCAAGGAGCAGCCGTATTATTGGCCATTTGTGAATGATCTGTCTAAAGATAGATACAAGGATTTTAATTTTAGCTGCTACAGTCAGGACTGCCAGAGAGTGCTGGACTATATCAGCATAGGTAAGATTAATTTTTTCCTCTTTCCTTTTTCTCTCTGTGACTTAAGGTGGGTTGATCTGGGTTTCTTTTCTATGCAACAAAAAATTTTGGCCACAAACTTTCTGATGATGCAAGTCTATAAACAACAGAAAATAAAACAAACCAAGTTTGGATTAGTTCAGTACTTGTTCATTTAAATTTTATAAATACTCCATTTGATAATTGGGAAGATAATGAATTAGTCATGTTTTCAACATGCAAAGTGTTGCCTAACAAGCTACATGTATGAAAGAGTCAATGCTTTGGAAAGACTCAGAACTGTAATACATTTTATGGACAAATTTCAAGCAGTGGAAAAAAATAACCCATATACATATAATATATATTATCACATGATATTTATATATTATACATCATATAATATCTAATTATATATAATATATATTATGTATAATTATATGCTATGTATAATATATAATATATAAAAATTATAATTATATAAATTATATGTTATATATTAATATAGTATATAAAATATATAATAAATATATAAATTTATTAAGAAATATATGTATATATAAAATATATTACATATAATATATATATATAAATTTGAAACTGTTAATTAACCTAATCTGACAATCACATATCAAATACATATCAAACGATCAACACTCTATCCATAAATATGTCAACTTTTTTTTTTTTTTTTTTGGTACCAGGGATCAAACTCACGACCTTGTGCTTGCCAGGCAGGCCCTTGTGTCACTGAGCTAAACTCCAGAACCTATCAACTTTAAAAGTAAAAAGTTAAAGGAAAGCTTTCTTTTTTTTTTTTTTTGTAAGTTGATTTATTTTTTTTTTTGATTTTTGATTTTAAAGAGATTAACACAAAACAGGACATAACAGAGCAGATCACAACAGAACAATGTAAGCAACACAGTATTTCACCAGAAGACAACCCATAATTTACAGTAACTACCATGATCTCTTTCTTTGAAATAGTTGAGTATGACTTCATATACAATAGCATCGAACACAGAAAAATAGTATAAAAACATTCAAGAGAATGAGAGTATTACAGGGCATTCAGAACCAAATAACAGAAAACAAACAATGGCTACATATTATCTCATTTTCCATAGAACATTTGTTTATACTTTCACACATAAAACAATCCAATAAGGTACAGCATGATACGACCAATGGAAACAGAAGAGCAAGAGCATGGTGGGACTTCAGAGTAAGATGATATTATATCAGTACTGGCCATTATAACGACTTGTTTCCCTCAAATTAGGTGTTTATGCCATCACAGATAATAAAATCAAAAAACCAGTATAAACCCATTACACCTGTGATCATTATAAGGCTTCAAAACAATGTAATGGGGAATCATGATTACCATAACTCTTATGTACTATTACTATTTCTTATACTAGGGAGACTATACGGTATTTATACATGTGGGTTTGATTTATTTTGCTTATTAGTATGGTCTCAAGTTGTGTCCATTTATTTATAAATATCTCAATGTGATCCTTCTTTAGAGCTAAGTAGTACTCCATTGTATAAAAATACAACTTTTTAATCCATTCCTCAGTTGATGGACACTTAGGTTGTTTCCAAGATCTGGCAATTACAAATTGTGCTGCTATAAACATGGATGCATATATATCACTGTTGTATGATGTTCTCAGATTTTCTGGGAATATGCCCAGAAGTAGAATAGCTGGGTCGAATGGGACCTCCAATCCCAGCTTTTTGAGAAATCTCCAGACTGACCTCCACAATGGCTGCACCAGTCTACACTCCCACCAACTGTGTAGGAGAGCTCCTTTTTCCCCACAGCCTCTCCAGCATTTGTTGTTGATGGTTTTCTTGATCCTGGCCATTCTTTCAGGAGTGAGATAGAATCACAGTGTGGTTTTAATTTGCATCTCTCTAATGAGTAATGACGATGAGCATTTTTTCATGTATTTATTCACCATTTGTATTTCTTCATCTGAGAAGTGTGTATTCATCTCAGATGCCCACTTTTGGATTGGGTCCTTGAGTTTCGGGGGTCTGATTTTTTTAATTCTTTATATGTTTTATGCATAAGTCCTTTATCTGAGGGAGAGTTCACTAAGATTTACTCTTCTTTCCTTAAGTAAGAAAAGCCAACAATGTCTCTACAGAAAAAAGACTAAAGTCCCTCACAGGAAAATTCCCCAATGAAATTAACAACGTAAAGAAATTATTTAACTTCTCTTTTTATTGACCACTGATTTTGCTCTATGAGCTTTAACCCACTGTAGGACATTCGTAAAATTTATAGTTAACAAGAGGAGGTGAAACACTCTACAGAATTTCCTGCTCATTCCGTAATGTTCTGTGTCTGATATCACATAGGTGGGTAAACATATTTTTTTTATGTGTTGCAGCTTCTCAAATGTTATGCTATTCTGGATGAATTTTGCTGCTTTTTGACATAGGTATATTGTTAAACTTCCAGTATTCCCACAGATATTTTGATGAGTTCTTTTGCTCATCTCCTCAATTCATTTACTCCTCAATTCTGGAGATGTGCTATGGTGAGTCATATGCATAGAGCCAGCAACAACTTGTCAGTGGTAATTATTTAGCTATTAATCCTAGTTGGTTAGCCTTTATTTTCAGTGGTGCACTTCCTAGAGATTTATATTTGTCACCTTGCTGTCACCGCGTCGAAATTTCTAACACCAGTCACTGAGGAGAGGAGAGTTCTACTTGGCTTACAGTTTCTGATGGGTTCAGTCCAAAGCCACTTGGAGCCAATGCAAAAGTAGCAGGCTAAAAAGGCCTGGGAGAGGCTGCTGCTCATCAGAGAAGAGGAGCGAGAGAAGGAGGAGACTGAGATGTGAATCCACCCTCCTCAATGATGCCCTCCAGTGACCACCTCCAACCAGAGCCCCTCAAGCATACATTCGGCTGTGAATTCCGTGATATGTCACCTTCCAAATTCTTGAGACTTTGTTGGTGATAGTTCACTTAAACTATAAGCAAGCTTGCAGAGCACTCTGCATGGAAGCGAGCAGTCAAACACACTTGCCTTCCTCTTGCTGTAGTGAAAATGTTGCTCGTGCCTTATTACTAGGAAAATGACTTGCCGTTTGCCTGGAAATGATCTTTTCTGTTGTATGTTTTATTCCTCTAACTTTTTAACTGTGTCTTCTTTAGATGTGTTCAGCATCTCTGTCATTACTTTTATCATTTCTTCTTTTACCTGGGAGATTATTTCTAGTTTGAATTCCTTTATAGCTTCCTGGAGTTGCTTCTTTATTTCAGTTACTATTATTTCAGGTATTTCAGGCATATGGCATATATTTTCTTCTACGTACACGGCGCATAGGCTTTCTTGGGATGGGCTGGATGTTTGAGATTGCATTTTGGTCTTTCGTTTTATCATTTTCCTATATTTCCGTGTTTCATGTGTTGTTCCAAAGCTTCCCCTGGGTGTGCTGGAAATTGTCTCCGATGTCCTGGGCTCCTGGGACTCCTCTGGTAGTGTAGCTCGCTCTTGGCCAGCGAGGCCCCCGGATTAAAGGAAGGTTACCAGGCACAGCTCAGGCAGCCTAAAGCCTCCTCAAGCCCAAACCGCACAGCTCCCCCGCCTCACAGCAAAAGCTCCCTAGACCAAAAGAAGGCCACCAGGTGTGGTCCCCAGGCAGGCCCAAATCCCGCCAAGACCAATCCAGAGTGACTGCAAGCTGCGTGGGTCCCCAACCACCCAGTGCAAGGTCTCAAACTCTCCTGGGATCAGATGTTGTGCAGGCATCCACCTCCTCGGGTGTCGGTGTCGAAGCTCCCCAGGCTGAAAGAAGGTCACCTGCGCACCTAGGGAGGCCTCAAACCTCTCTGCAGTGCAGCTCCCTCCTCCGGGCAGTAGTGGCAGTGCTCGTGGCCGAGAGAAGGTCACCGGCAAGGCCCAAGCAGCCTCCCCCCACCCAGCCCAGCTCAGCTCCCTCCTCCCTTTTTCAATTGTATGCTGATGAAATTACTTCCTAGTCTTAATTGAGTGCAGCCATTTTATTAGGCATGCAAATTGAAATTTATCAAATTAGTTCATTTGATAAGACTTTTTAACCTTTCATTAGTCAACTCAGATAGATATCAGATATAAAAATCTATATTTGATCATTTTCCGATTATTGAAAAGTGGGAAGACACACATCATAACCAAGGTTAATCACTGATACATATATTTAAATATATAGTCAAATTAATAATACTACAAAACAAGACACATTGCCATTAACCTCCCCTGAAACACTCCCCTCACTTTTCAAACATAGCTATCCCAGTCTTTTTGGCGATGTGTTTTTAAGTGACACTTTAAAAAAAAAGAAACATTCATCATATACTCATCACCCCAAAGGTGTGTGTACATTTCTTTGTAACATACTGCAGTCTCAGAATAAGAAGGGAATCACTGCGATAAACATAAAATGCAAAGCATATCATCCATTCATGTTTAAACAATCAAATAATTCTAAGTAAATCTTAATAAGGCAACTTCATTGACTTGGAGAAGGTTATGTCATTTAAGGGAAGCATTCGTTGTAAGCGCAGAGTTCTGGAACAGCTCCTGTAACATAAGAGATGGACAAGGACAATGGATTGCTTCTGTATAACATGAAGAGTCAGATGAAGGAGATTGGAGCAGGATCATCACCGAAAACAAAGCTCCATGTTGTGTAACTCTCTTTGCACCAATGTGGAAATCACACACTTTTTATAACTTCGTGATGCAACCCCCACCATGTGACTGGGAGCTGGTGGCTACTGGCCCTTGTAATTAGTGCAGGCCATGGAAAAACAGGGCTGTGATAAAGAAGACTAAAATCAGGACAGCAGGAGAGCGACCTGTGGTGCTCACTTTTCTCTTGCTGCTGGGACAAAACACCTGACACCCAAAATGAAGAGAGGAAAGGTTTATTTAGCTGTTTGTGGAGGTTTCAGTCCATGATCAACTGGCTCCAGTGGCATGGCACTGGGGCAAAACTTCAAGGCAGCAGCCAGCAAAAAGGGGAGGAACAAGCCTCTTTTCCTCCTTTATACTGTATGCAGGCGACCCCTGCCCCTGCCGCTCAGGGTGGGTATAGCACTCACAAAATCTCAGAGCCTTCCTCTTGCACAGGATGAGGATATTTACAAAGCAAGGACCTTGGCTCCCTGCTGAGTCTCTAAGTTAAACTTCCAAACTGCTCAAGTAGACACACTGTATGGACCATAACACAACTCCTCCCCACAGATCCTGGAAGACAGAACCCTGGTTTGGAAGAAACTGCCAGGTGCTGACATCAGGGAGCTACAGTATCAAATAGCTGTAGTTGAGGTGCAGAAGCACAGGACACAGCCACAGGGCGTTGTGGTGGGGAGGAGTTTGGGGAGCCCTTGCAGAGACCCCTGGAGAGCTAGGCCCTGGGGCACCCATGGCCTCGCTGGTGCACTTCATGCATAATCACGGGCCAGCCCTGTGCACAGAAGCATAAGCTGGAGTTCTGCAGAGCTCTGCCAGGAAACAGAGAAGCAGTTTGAGCCTCTGGCTCATAGACACTGGAGAGTTTAAGTTATTGATGGGGAACTAATTGGATCACTGTGGGACCACCCAGATCCCCAGACAGGACAGCACGAGGGGAGCTCAGCCCTGGGACTAGCTACACGGCTCCCCATCCCTGAAGTGGTGCGGCAGAGGAGGCTGCTCTAATTCAGACTGTGGTCAATTCTGGATTAGGTTGGTTCTTTATTTTTTTCTTTTCTGGTGTTGGCAAGGGGATGTTGATAAGAGCATGCAGTTGTGAATTACCAGTTTTAATTCTGTAGCATTTAAGCAGGTGCTATCAGGTTCTGAGGTCCTTGCATAGGGCTTCCTGGACTAGATTCTCAATTAGGCCATCAGTTGGACTCAATCTGTTTCCCCCATTTTCTTTCAGAATTCCTCTACTCCTCCTCTTGCACCCTCTCAAACCTCCCTCTTTTCTGGCCTATAATTACCAGCACAACTTATTTATTACTTCCTGCTTTAGTTCATGTTTTTCTTTCTTGGTCTTCAGAGTATATACACGGGGCATGGGCATAGGCAGCTTGCAGAAGTGTTCATCATTCTTTGGTTATGGCGGTGTCATTCGTGGATCTGCTGGGTTCACCCGCACCTAAGGCTGTGCCTGCAGACCTTGCTGGACATTAGTTTTCTATGAGTTTATGAAGCGAATTCAACATCCTTAAGTTTTCTCTCCATTTCCAATTACGTTGCCTTCTCCTTGTACCATTCTTTCCACCCTCAGACTTCCTCTGCCCTCCCTCTGCCCCATGTATAAAACATCACCACGAGTGGTGAGTGGACAGATCTCCCCAGATGGGAATACACGGCCTCTCTGTATTATGGCTGTGATCCTTCTGAAATCCAAGAGTTCTTCCACATAAAGCACACCACACAAACCGGCTTTATCTTTAAAGCTGCTTCCTGGATTAAAAGCTGGGAGATGCAGAGTGGCAAGAGCTGAAGAGCCTGACCGAAATGCAGTCTGATGACACACATCACCGCACAGCGGGGCTCCTCGTCACCTGGACCTCGAGGCTCCAAAGCATTCCTCCTGTGACTCACTCAAATTCTAAACTCCAGGGATTCAGCATACCTACCAGCACATCAGTCGGGTGAGAAGAACTCGCCTCTGGGCCCATGTACTGGACAGAGGGCGGCAGGAGGAATGCACGGAGAAAGCCACCCAGCTATCGGAGTGACTCTCTTGGGTCACCCCGTGGATGAAATTAAAAACAGCAAAATGGGCAGGGCAGAGGTATATTTCCTGGAGAAGGCCCTGAGATGAATGTCAGATCTGAAACAGGAGAGCAGGAGATAGCAGAAGAAGGACGGGGACAGAGGGGGAGTGGTGAGAGAGGCGGAGGGGAAGGGGAGAGAGAGAGAGCGGGAGGGAGAGGGAAGGAGAAATAGAAAGCAAGAAAGAGAGGAAAGAGGATGGAGGGAGAGAAGCGGAGAAGGAAAGGAGGATAAAAAGAAAAGAGAAACGAGACAGTGAAGAGAAAGGAACTACATGTGTTTTATTGGCTTTAGCAAGAAGGTAATGTTGCGCCCTTCTGCCAAGAGGGTCCCCCCAACCAGCTGGGCTCCTGGGCAGCCATGGGGAGGCCGGAAGCTGGGCTGGAGTTTCCAGAGTCCTGTAGGGAGCAGCCCCACTTGAGGTGCATGAGGTTGTCCTCCTGATTTGGGGTGCAACATTCCAGGGCACAGTCTGGGCCTCAAGAGGACCTTGTGTCCCTGAGATGCACAACTGTCCCATGGTTGACCAGTACCTGGACCTCATGCAATTCGTGGGCACCAGAAAGTCCCTGGAGTGCTCTGTGCTCCCCACAGAGCAGGGTTCCTTCCAGGCTGCACTGCCTGCTACTGCCTTGGGCGGCTCCCCAAGCAAGAGCCTGACTAGCTGTCCATGTGAGGTCAAGCATGGGTGGCTGCAGAACCAGTGGCAGAGATGTATAGGGTGCTTGCCTTGCATGGGAAGCCCTGGGGCTGTTCTCCAAAATCACACACAGAAATTGTTCTCTTCTGCACAAAAGGAGGCCACCCCAGGATCCCTCTTGAGCTCCCTTGGCAGCTTCCACGAGGGTGGGAACCCACAAATATACCCTTTGCTGACTTCCTGTATGGCTCACGGGCAATCTTGTGAGGGAAACTCAGGAGAAGGTAGTGACAGTCATCTGAACAGCCACGAGGCTGCCCACAGCGTCAAAGTCTCACACTGGCAAGTCTCATGAGCCCAGCGAGAGAGACTTCACACTGTGTGACTTGGATGTGATTGAGGGACTTATTCTACCCATAGCTGAGAACTGGACAAGAGAAACACTGCGAGATATTTGTAGACACAGGGAAGAGTGTCATAAGCTTCCCCATTTCTGAATCGTGAAAAGCAACATGGAGACCTGTTGTTGGAGACCACTACGAAGTGGCATTGAGCAGGATTTAAATTTTACTTATTGGCTTCTTATGTTTATCTGTGAGTCTGTCCTAGGCTTCAGATCCTTGCCTGGCGACGGGAGCTGATTCATAGTAAGTGAAGCTATGTGAATCACTGGTCCTGGCTGAGGCCTGTAGTGGCCTGTGAGGCCAGAGATACCTCAAAGGGCAAGATGAGGCCACAGCTGCAGACACTCTGGCTCCAACCCCAATTGACAAGGTAGAGACTGCAGCTGCAAAGATGACTCCTACAGTCTCACTTCTACCATGTCTTCATGATGAGACAGTGCTACTGAATTGACTTGATTCATGAGTTGGAGACGTCCTTGCAGTGACTCCCAAGGTCCTGCTCATTGCCTGCACTTTCCTCAGTCTCTCCGCTCTTTGTCCTTGGTCCTAATACAACTGGACTGATCCAGAGAATCCTTTGTCTTTATCCTCAAAGCCTTGAGCTTAATTAAAGGATTTTGATCCTCCTGGAGCCCTAAAAATCATATCATTTTTCTGTCTTTAACCACAGCCATACACTCGTTTGGGAGATCGGGGATCTAGGACAGAACGCAATAACCTGTTGCATTTTAGAAGTGTTCGTAGATGCCTACACAGACATCATCCATACTTATGTCAGTCTGTTTATATCCGGGTGTTGAGAAATTGACACTGGTCACAAGATCAAGGCGGAGATGATAATATTGGAAGTCGTGCATGAGTGCCTATTTGACATGCTGTTTATAGCACAGAAAAAAATATTTTCCCTTTCCCTGTGTCAGTCCAAAGATGGGAGAATTATAGTGAGCCAGAAATATACATGCATATGAATATATATATATATCAAGCAAAGCTTTGAAATGAGACAAAATTAGGCACAAATCTGAGTAACTGTGTGGTAAATTCAGCCCAACGGAATTGTCAATCTGCAAGCAATAATTGTTTGCAAATCAGCTCACTTTTCCTGAACTGCCATAAGTGCTCTGCGATCAGCTTTCAGTAGTGCGGACAATTGTCTCTCTTGGAATTGGGTTTTACCGCTGTGAAGACACAGCTCAGGCAGGAAAAATCCTGAAATGCGGAACTTCTGTGTCACTGGTTCCTCCACGGCAGAAGTCCTAGATGGAACCCAAGAACTTCCTGGGGTTAGTATTTCTACAGAGAGGGCTTTAGTGTAACTGCAGTTACCTAATTCGCTCATTGGAGACTTTCTACAAGCAGGCGGCTGATTTGGTGCATATTTAGAGCTCGCGCTTGCTGGGAGTGGTAATTTCGATACTCAGAACTGTGGGAATGTGTCTCTGTGGGCTGCGTGGATGCACACACAGCAGCAGCTATTCTTGTGAATGAGAACCATCCAGGAGTCTTTTCCTCCTTCGAAATACTGCTTGTTCGTTTAAAGCATCCTCGGGCTTCAAAACCAAATCTAGTTGGCCTAATCATCAGTGGGAAATCGTGAGTTCTCATAAGCACAAAGGCTGAAATAAATGATGGACATTTTAAAGGGCAGATGTAAAGATCCTGGGAAATCCCCCAACAGGAAACAGGGAACTTACCAAGGAGCTTTGGCCAACCGCAAACATGTTAGTATCCAAGTCAGAAAGCTTCGCCCGAGTTTCTAGATATGGGTCCTAGTGTGCTGTGAAAGTTTGGTCCCCTTGGTAGGCCAGGTCCTGCTTTCTGTCACCACCCAGGCGGAGGCACACCCTACACAGCAAGGGGTAACAGGAAGTGCTTCTTGGCTTGGCTCCCCACAAAGCTCCCTGCAGCTCTCCAAGGAAAACAGTGGCATCCACGCATGTTAGCAGAGAAAGGGCTGCAGGCTCACCCATGAGCAACTGCACACTTTTTTGGTTGTTTAAAGGAAAAATCCCAAAGGTGAAAGATGTGTAGTGGATTACAAAATGGCCAAGCGCTTGCCTAGCCATGCTCAAGGCCCCGGGTTCAATCTCCAGCCCGGACAAACCAAAAACTAATTTTAAAGTCAAAGAGACTCTTTCAGGAAGATACATAGAAGGGGAATGGCTGGCCATCTGGAATTGCTAGTTGCACTTTTTCCTTATTTCTCTCTCTTTTTTTGAATCCGGAATCAAACTCAGGTCCTTGAGCTTGCCAGGTAAGCGGTCATGCTGCTGAGCTAGGTCAGCGGCCCTCTAATTTTAGTTTTTTGAGGAATTTCCCTAGCGATTCCCATAGTGTGGACACTACTTTACATTTCCACCAACAATGTGGAAGGGTTCCCTGGACACAGTTTCACCAGCATTCATCCTTATTTGATGTCCTGGTGATGGTCGATCTTTCTGGAGTAAGACAGAATCTCAGGTATCTTCCTGCAAGAGTCAAAGGACATCAAATAATAGTGACCTGTGCCTACCTGTGTTTATAGCAGCACAATTCATAGTAATGTTAAGTGAAAGAAATGAGATACACACTTAAATGTCACACAGTGTCTCACATATGAGAGACGAATTGTAAATCAAAAGCAAAATAAAAGGCAGGTAATAGGAAATGGGGAGACAGATGGTTCTCAAAGAGAAAGCGGACACATGATGGAGGGGGAGGAGGAAGAGGGAGGAAGGGACGGGAAAGGAATGTAAAGGTGATGGGCACACAATGGACGCCAGCATTAGGTACTACAAACTCAGACTGAAAAAAGAAAGTCAGAGAGCAAGATTCTTTTCTGTCCTATCGTAAGTAAGGGAAATCAATCAGACTTGCATGTGTAAGTATCGCTCTTTAACTCCCTAGCTAAACCCAAAACAAACCAAAAAAGTAAATCAGATCCAAAATGTACAACAGATATTGTGAAAATGAAAGGGAGAAGTACTCAGAATGAAAGAACTGGGATAGGGAAAGGAGAAAAAAAGGGGAAAAATTATATGTATATAGGTGTACTTTTATATGTGTGTGTATACAAGATAGATAACTATATTACCGATGTTAGTTCATCGAAATAAAATTCGTGTTTTCATTTTTGATGGCTAATTCTTATAATCTGAACAACTGTTTTTTATTGTAATCATGATTCCCCATTACATTGCTTTGCAGCCTTATAAAGTTTGCATTCATTAGTTGGAATGGGTTTGTCCTGGTTTGTTTAATTTTATTATCTGTGGTGGTATGAACAGCTATTTTGAAGAAAACAAGACATTATAATAGCCAGAGCTGATTTGATGTCACCTTACTCTGAAGTCCTACTGTGCTTTTGTTCTTCTGTTTCCATTGGTTCTATCATATTGTATCTTATTGGATTTTATTATGTGTGATAATATAAACAAATTTTCTATGGAAAATGAGATAATATAGTAGCCATTGTTCGTTTCCTGTTATTTGTTTCTGAATGTCCTGTAATACTTTAATTCTCTTGAATGCTTTTATATTATTTTATGTTTGATACTATTGTATATGAAATTATGCTCAACTATTTCAAAGAAAGAGACATTATGATAGCTACTATTAATTACAGCTTGTCTTGTGGTGAAATACTGTGTTGCTTATATTGTTCTGCTCTGATCTGATTTGTTATGTCTTTTGTCTTAATCTCTTTGAAAAAACAATGTGCAATATATTAACTAGTGTTATATATTTTTTAATCTCCGTATCATTTTTTATCCTTTTTTTAAAGAAAAAAAGGAAGGGCTAATGGAAATAAGCCATGGAGTATCCACATATGATGAAAAATGGAAGGGGTAAGGTGAAAAATCTTAGGCAAAATGAAAATGCACACACTGCATAAGTGGACACAGCAATGAACTGAGAACCCATGGACCTCCTGGCATTTACAAAAACAACACAGTTGAGATTTAACTCCATGTTTGCTCGGGTAAATAAAGCACATGCCTCCAAGGGCCATCAGCATTCTAGGGCGGGGTTTCTGGAGAACACCCCAGAAAGAGGCAATGGCTGGTGTTTCTGTGCTACAAACTGTATTTTGGGCTTCTGAGGATCATAAAATTGATTGAAAGAATGGCTTGAAAGGGTAAAAAGAGTCATGCAGGACAGTTAAAGGCATATAATTAAATCGGTTTGTTTCTAACTGCCTTCTACTAATTAAGAGTTCACGCTTGGCAAACCCCATAAAACCATATTTAAGATTTAAGACAGTGCAAGTGAATTAGTAGAAACCCATCTGCAAGTGTTCCAGCTTGTGGAAAGCACAATCATCTTAAAAGTCCAAGGCTGAGAGCTGTATGTGAAGATTTACAAATTATTCGCTGCAGGAGTATTTGGGATTTTCACTGTTAGTTGCTAAGCTATTTGTTTTACTTGGTTCCTGGTGTTTAGTAGTATTTGATTGATTTAATTTCCTAGGAAAGATATGTCCAGTATCTATAGAGGTAGCTAAACAGTCAGAGAGGAATGGCCTTGTAGAGACACAAGCTTTGTGGCCCTGCGCTTTCAACACCTGAGCCCAGAGGGGATATGAAGTCCTTCAAAGGTGAAGACTTTTCTCTACAAAATGATTCCTCTTCATCTAGGCACATATTCCTTAGCGCCTGGGCCAAATGCTACAGAAATGCCTATTTCTTGAGAGGAAGTAGTCATTCACATGTTAAAAATGATGTAAATCGAAACAACACTAAGCCTGCAACTTACTTCAGGAAGAAGAAATCATCATCATGATCTGAAGAAACAGGAAATGCCGGGGGGGGGGGGATGTAAATTGGTGCATTCACTATAGAAGTAAGTGTGGAGATGCCTCAAAACACCAAAGACAGAAGTTCTACTGGACCTGGCCATACCTCTCTGGGTAGCTATCCGCAGTTCATGGCAGCTGCAAACAGCAAGGCAGAAACCAGAAGAGAGGGAGACACACTTTTTTTCCTGCGATTACATCACTTTCTGGCTCCCCCACCTAGGCAGGTATACCACTGACACCATCAATCCAAGCACTAGACAGTGAACCAATCACAAATGCACAATGCAAACTCATGAGCCCTGGGGGCCACAGACATAAACCACGACACATGCATACCAATGTTTAGAGAAACATTATTCATACTAGCTAGATCTTGGAAGACCTGATAAGTATCTATGGATACATGAGTGGATAAGGAAAATGGGCTGAATATGAATACACACAGTAAGTACTCGTCAACCAGAATGAAGCATAAATTTGGGTTATTTGTAGAACAATGGATACACTTTGAGAACATAATGCTGAGTGAAACAATCAGACATGAGTTCACTATCATACAAATTCTCTCAGATGAGAAACCAAAAATATAAACAGCAAAATAAAAGGGAAATGATAGAAAACAGTGACGCAGTCTTTGGAGCGGGGAGGACATCTGGATAACATAGGAGAGGGGCATGACAATGGGATGAGAAAATAAATAAGATGTGATGTGCATATACATCAACTCTCCAAGATGCCTGTATTATTATGTATCACAAACATACGCCAATAAAAAAGGAATAAAAAAAATGCACATATTGCCAAGAGTAATAATGAATTGACCTAGAAGCCTGATGAGATTTTTCTACAAAGGATTTAAATAGAAACCTCCCTCTAAATCTGCCCGAAACCGATTTTGGGCTACGCACGTTTAGGTGTTTTATTCAAACCAGTTTTCTTTCTGTAAAAACTTAACAGTGTCATTAAATCCACATCGATAAAAGGACTCCATTTTCTTTTGACTTGGTGGGAAGAGGGATTGGTTCAGCCTCACCAGGTTTGCCAGGGACAGCTGCAAGAGAAAGGTGAAGTCCAAGCTGTAGAACATTACCGTACAGACAAAGAGATGATGTGCAGATTTAGCTGCGCATGTGTGCTGTCATGGCGGATATACCCTGTCAGTCTGAGGACTTTGGAAGCTTAGCCAAGTTCTACACCGTGGGGTGTGGAGGATGAGACCTTACTGCTCTGGGATGTTGTTGCTGTGTCTACTTGACAGGTTTAGAAGTTTAATGAAATGACTCAGCAGGGGGCGAGGGACCACACTTTGTAAACATCCTGAGCTTGTGCAGGAGGTCAGGGAGTTGGTGTAAAGGACCTGGCCTATGGTGCAGAGCCTACTTTCAGTATAAGGGAGGAAAAGAGCCTTCTCCTTTCTCTCTTGTGGCTTTGCTGTCTTCTGCTGCTTTGAACAGTAGCCCCTGTTTCATGCCACCCTGTCTTGGAGCCAGCTGATTATGGACTGAAACCTCTGCACACTGTGAGCTAAATAAACTTTTCCTTCCTGCATTTTGTGTTGGGTACTTTGCCTCGGCAGGAGAGAGAAGTAACTAAGACATATGCTAAACTTTATTACAGATATAATTAGCAATATCTGAAAGTCAGTAGGAAAATCATTAAAAAGTGATTCCACACAAAAGATCAGTGGAGGGCGTCTCAGCCTTGATACTGTTGATATTTCTGGCCAGCAAGTTTAGATGGCTGCTGCCCTGGACACTACAGCAGATTTTGCAGTATCCCTGGCCTCACTACAGGAGAGACCCGTAGTGGTACCCAGATGTGACAACCCAAAAGGACCCTGAACATCACCAGATAGTTCTGGGATATGCTATTGCTCCATGTTGACATCCAATAGACTAGGCTAAGGGAATCAATATTTTTATGTCAACTGTTCATTTGAGTCCCTCCTTCTCTCTCGTATGATTTTATATTTCATTATCTCCATCTTTCTAACTAAATAAATGAGTTAAGTTGTTCTGACATTGCACTGTTTACAGATGTGAAAAAGAAGAAGGAAAAAGCTATAGAAATTGAGAGCTGATTGGCTGCAAAGAACCTGCATCCTGACAATGGCAAAGAACCAAATCCCCACGCATGATCTGAGCTGCAAAGTATGGGAAAACATGGTATTCAGCAATACAATGTGCACAATAAAATGATCCATGAGCTTCCAGTGTGTAGAGGATGCATGTTGGATTCTGAGGAGACCTCAATGGATTAGGACTTGGCCAAAGTCTCCAAAGGCCACTGCTCACCATGATATCCCGATTGTTGATGTTAACATACAAATCCAGCTGCCCTTTGTCCTTGGGAGAGATGTCCAGTCGTCCACAGAAAGGAGAGATGGTCACTGTGCGGCCCACAGGCAAGATGGGAAGGCTGTTAGTGAGGCCTCCGTCCACCCATTTCTAGGAAAAGAAGGTCCAACATCAGCACAGGTCCCAGTTGAAGAGAAGTGGGGGTGGCTTTGTCAGTGAGCAGGTTCCCTCCTGGTATTAAGATGCATGCTCTGGGTCCTCCTAAATTTACCATTTCTGTGGGCTCATCCAGCTGGGGAGCTAGCTACTTTGGGAGCAAAACAAGTCATTGTGCCCCCATCTCTTACCACGATAATAGGAATTCTGGGCAGAATCAGGAGATCTCTCCAACAGCTGAAAAGTTAGATTATGCCACTTAACATGGTCCTGAATGTGTAGCATGCATGGGGTATGTCTTAGGAGCCATGCAATATCAGAGTGGGATTTCTTGGGTAATCCAAGTGGAAAGTTCGGTTTACGGGTGACCCTGAACAAAACACCCGCCACCAGCAGAGGTCCTGATTTTAGTATCTGTGCGGCTGAATTGAGCATGAGAGGTCCTATTTTTACAAGAATCAGAAATTGTCATTTTGCTCAGCAAAGCTGAAAATAAATAGAACACCCAGAAATTCCTCTATGGGCAAAGTGTTTCCCGTGTACGCAGAACAGGGGTTGTGTTCCAAAGCCATGAAGAAAGGTAGGTGCTGGGTATAAGCTTTCTCAGAAGGGGTTCTGTACTCTCCACTGACCCACAAAGGGTGATGGCTCGGGGAGGGAAGGGAAGAGGACAGAAAGAAACAGAGAGAGGATACTGTTGTAGTTAGGGGTTGTGCAGAGAACAACTAGAATCAGGTTACGTGTTTATATTGTTTTTATAATGGTCACTGGGAGTTAGCACAAGAAAATGCAGGAAATGAACCCAGAACACCAAAGACACAGAATAGTTAGTCAAGGGCCTAAATCCCACAGCCCATATGAGTCCAGATGAAGTCCCAGAGCTCATGACAATGCCTCCCATGAGTCCAACCGGAGTCCAGAGTCCACAAGAAGGACTCACACCAGTCTGTTTTACGGATCCGAGCCAGAAAGGCCCAAAGGTCAGCAGTGAAAGCCAGAAAGTCCATGCCAGTCAGGTGAAGGAGCTGTGCTGGTGGGATGAGGATCCTATGCTGGAGCTGAGAAGTCACACTCACAACAGGGCTGTCCTGAAAGGCATCACAGCCATCCTCAGTGACATGGAGGCCCCGGAGCTCCTCTGATGACAAGCACAGTCAGGTACCTGCCAGGAAGCAGCATGACGAGTTCATCCTGGAGACCAAGCAGCACACGTCTTCCCCTCTGGAACCAGGAAGCAATGCTTGATGCGAGGACCAGAGCTTCTCCAGGAGAACCAACGGCTCAAACAGCAACTTGTAGGAGAACCCACAATGCCTTAACTCCTTCCTTCTCCTTCTCCACCTATTTATGCTGGCAACTTTCCTTAGGGGGAGCCTCTATGCTGATGTAATGCTGTGCCATGCTGATGTAATCTAGCTGGTGTTAAGTTGACCACCAGTTCTTAATCCATAACAGATACTTAAGGGGAAGGCATCCTCCACTCCTTCACCTAAGCAATTGTACTGTGACGAACATGGACAGGAAGAAACACACAGACGATGTTCCTCATGTTAAATTTCGCAATCATGAGGATTCTCAGTGCATCCAGGAGCCCACACAGCTGGAGCTGTAAACACTGCCACACAGAAATGGTGCTCAAGTCCTCCAAGCCATCAGAATTATGTCCCAGGTGACGTGATACAAAAACCAACAGAAGAAACATCTGCTGTTGGTTGAGACGCCCTCACAAAGAGACTGTCAGGGAAGTCTGCAAACGGACTGTTGTTTGAACAGGTTAATGCACAATTTTAAAATGGCTATTTTTAAAACTGGTAGTGCTTTAAATTTTATTTTAATAAAATTGCACAAAGGTGGAGGGAGGAAGGCAAAACAGGTCAATGTGAATGTACTTCACTCAGTTAAAACATTTTTTTCTTCTTTTATTTCCTTCTTTATTGTTAACTTATAACACAGGAAATGATGTGTTTGGTAATCCCTTACAAAGGCGTTGGCTAGACAGCCACGTGTAAAGGCAGAATGAAAGTCAGCTCAAAGGATGGGTAGAAAATTTCTCTTGACAGAATCAAATATTGGTAGAGGAGAAAGCGTCCATAGGTTTGATTAAAACAAAACTGGTCGAGAAAATTTGTATATTAGCGTTATTTTCAATATAACATAATACACATTGTAATGATGTTATATAGACCTACCAAAAGGTGTACATATACATACACCAAGTGTATGCAAGCATGTGCATATGAATACATGTATGGAGCATATACATATATGTGCTATTTATGTATACTATAACACTGCCAGAGGTTGTGCTATTTTACATATATTTTACATGTCTGTGTTATTTTGCATATATACATATATATGATATATGAGAGAAAGCAGATTACAGGAATACAAACCATGAAAAAGAAGTTTGCCAAAAAACTTTTAAAAGCTCCATAGCACCTAATTTTATCCCAGTGCTTCTTTGCTGCCCCCACCCCACATTTAGATATGAATACTGAATTCTGGACGAGGAAAATGCTTTGCAAAAAGAAAAAAAAAATTCACCTCTGCTTCATCAAAGAGAACTAAAGATAGGCCACATGACCGTAAGTAAAGAGCTCATCTGACTTGTTCAGCTTAATGAAAAGAAGGGTAATTTGGCTCATTAAATTGAAAAGTGTTCTAATTTACTATGGGGTTAATGACTGGTGTTAGAAGGAATTGAAAATCCTCTTCTTCCCTCACCCCGCCTCCACCAATCCTGTAATCTCTCGTTAGCTTATTCCGGTTGGATAAATGATGAGGGAAAACACACAGCTTAGCACACGTCTTGATTACACTTGTGATGATCCCAGCACCTCTGTGACCCACAGCGTCGGAAAGCACCAGCTCTGCCAGTCTCCTAGCTGATGCTCTCACAAGCACAACCAACCAACCGCACACTCCTGTGGGTAACACTGCTGGGAATAATCAGGGCTACAAATATTCTTCAACCTCCAATTAAAGCTGGAAGCATTTTACACCATGTGTTCTGCTGATAGTGTAAACTCATGCATGTTCAGTATTTCAGTGTATAAATTCTCTGGCCTTTGCCCACATAGTTCTGCAAATTATTTCCACTTTCTGGCCTCCTCGGTGGCATCCTACATGGTCAGAGCTACTGACATGAGCTTCTGCGTGATTCCAAATTCATCCTTATGTAAACAACTCCAGGTCTTCTCTTTCAGAGCTGGGATGGGTATTTATTGATTTTATCTCACGGTACTACAACCTGAAAGATCGGTGTGGGCAAGTATATAAAAATTCCAGGGCCAAATGTGTTTAAAAATCAAACTCTGCATTGTCCAATAGTTACTGTGACTTGATGCTGTTACAGGCAGCTGAGTTAGAAATATTCTAGGCACTCAGGGTTGGGCCCTCAACAGAGCCAGTGCAGAAGGCCAAATACCTGCAGCGTTGAGGAGACAGACACCTTTGCTGCAGACCAGATCTCAAGACAAAAGGCAAAATAAATGCAAGCATACCCTAAGTATAAACATCAGGGATTGATATTCTAAATAGGTATGCATCACCGTGAGGAAGCCACAATCCACCATCCTAAACCCCTTACAGAAAGCTCTTTAAGCATGTGTTTCGCAATTTGTCCCTGATTTGGTTAATTTTACCCGAACAGTTAACAGTTCTGTTCCACCTCATGCCCACCTTGCGAGTTTCCATATTTTCCCCATCTTGGACCCATCTCATCTCATGGTTTTGTGCTATAAAAGTCCTTAGAAAAGACAGAGGCATGGGCAAACACCTCAGGACCCCTTCTGTCTCCCTCTCTCCCTGACAGAAGCTTTCTTTCTCTCAATAAATATACTCTGCTCTTAACTTCCATTGTTCCTCAAATTCATTCTTTGATTTTATAGAATATGATTTTATAGAACACATCAGACATCTAGTAGTTCTGGGAGTTTCTTTCCCCTCTAGTAAATACTACTGGTCATACAACTACTCTTGTCTAACCTCTGGCACTACTGTAAGCATGCTCCCCATGGCAGCCTGAGTCCAGGGAGATATCAGCAAACAATTGCTCCATAGAAAAGGAAACTCATGCCAGTCTGAGGCAGTGTCCACCACGAGGGTTTTCCAAGGTTGCAGAACTGCAAACCAGGATCCATGGAGTCACCCATAAAGACACCTGCTGAAAACCAATAGACTGGATTCTTGATCTGTTAGCGTCTGTTAATTTTTGCATTCTACATTCTAATATGTCATGGGTGTCTATTAAGAACATGCTTTATGAATTCAAACAATGGTATCAAGTCATTTAAATCAAAACTTAAAATACACTGAAGTGCAAGACCTAATGATTTATAAATCAGTTAGAATTGATTCCCCATTTATCATTAGTTGAATCTTTACAAGATCCCTCAAAACTTTAATCCCGGAACACTGAGAGGCTGAGTCAGGAGGATCTCAAGTTTGAGCTTAGGTGGAGAGGTATCTCGGCACAAGGCCCTGGGTTAAATCCCCAGGTGTGCAAAACCAAACAAAATCAAAAAGAACAAACTCTATTGGGTAGGAAGGACATCTATCCTTGGCCTCTTTTTCTGATATTTCAGTTACCCAAGGTCTAACAAGTCATAACTATATACTAACAACTATACATAAAAATGTCAAATGGAAAAATTCTAGAAATAAAAGAATTCATAAATTTTAATGCATGAATCATTTTGAGTAGTGCGACAAAAACTTAAGATGTCCAATTCCATTTTGCCCAGGCTATAAACATCCATTTTCCAGGGTATCCAAGTGGCATATTGTGGCAATCACTTAGTAAGTGTGTCTATTTGCAGATCAACTGACTCTTGCAGTGTCTCGGTGCTTGTGTTGGAGCAACCTTTATTTTACTTAATAAAGGATTCAGGTGTAGTGACACACACCCATAACCCTAGTATTTGGGAGGCTGAGGCAGGAGGATCGTAAACCCACTATGGCATAAAACACAGAATGGCAAATTAATTCTG